AATGTAAATATAAATTGATCAAAAATGGCAGTTAAGACTTTTATATTGTTATATAAAGCAGTGGTTCTCAATTCCAGTCCTGGCGAACCCCCCACCGCCCTGCATATTTTGCATGTCTCTTATTTAACACACCTGATTCAGATAACCAGCTTTGTTAGTAGAGAGCTCCATGAATGAACTGTGTTCCAATTGACAGGGTCCCTACACAGTGTTCATTGCTCTCTACTCCCTGAGCACGGGAAATCCGTTTAAGTACTACTACATCACTTCAGAACATTCATTCATGGATTTTCGCTACTCCACTGCCTGCAGCGTCTTCACACACAGACGAAACTTAGAGAAGTGTGACATAATATACGGGGGGTCGCGAGGACTGGAATTGAGAACCACTGATGTAAAGCAGCACAACTGTTTTCAACTTTGATGATAATAAGAAATGTTTCTTGAGCACCAAATCAACATATTAGAATGATTTCTGAAGAATCATGTGACACTGAAAACTGACGTAATGGCTGCTGAAAATTCTGTTTTGCTTCACAGGAACAAGTTACATTATAAAAATACAAAACATTGATTTCTATTTGTAATTCATTCATGTGACTTTTGATAAGTTTGAATGCGTCCTTGGTGAATAAAAGTATTAATTTCTTTTAAAAAACATTGAAAAAATCTTTCTGACCCCAGACTTTTGACTGGTAGTGTATATCTGCTAAAAGTAGTTTTTTTGTTGACTTCTAGGAAAACGCAAGTATAATTTTGTCTTTTGTGATTATAGATACGAACTCGAGCCATTTCTGCCAAAGGAATGACTCTTGTCAGTCCTATTCAGCTTATTCTGTTCGGCTCAAAGAAGATCACCTCCAATGGAGAAGTTGTTGAGCTTGATGACTGGTATGTGTTTCATTAAGTTGAACCATAAACAACAACAAATAAGCGCTCCAGAATTCTTGAGTCAGGAATCCTGGGAGCAAGCCAAATATTTGCAAGGAAGTCAACAAGAGAAGTTTTCCAGTGATAATCCCGAATATTCCTTCCTTCTGCAGGATCAAATTGAAGATTCCCCATGATGTAGCCGGTGGTGTGGCGGCCCTGAGGGCAGTGATGGAAGCCCTGGTGGTGGAGGTGACCAAAGACCCAGAATACATCAGAAATTTGGATCCCACCAATGAGCGCTTGCTGAACGTCATTCGGCTTGTGTCTAGACCCTCATTAGCGGGCATCAACCTCATGGCCTCCAACCCACGGTGAGATCATTGAACCCATATATTTAATTGGCTTATTTAGGATGAAGCTTTCTTAATGAACTCTCTTGAAATTGAGATGTTAATTGTATTGTTTTAACACCTCTTATCTTTTTATTTTATTTTAACAGCTTTGGAGATGGTCCTCGTCCACCCAAGATGGCACGTACTGACTTTGGAGGGGGCGGAGAGTTCAGGGGCCGTGGAGGAGGATACAGAGGGGGTGGTGGTGGTGGATCCTGGTCTGGTGGAGGATATAGAGGCGGTGTAGGATACCAGGGTGGTGGAGGGTATCGTGGAGGTGGGGGTGGATACAGGGGGTCTAGTGGATACAGAGGATCTAATGGAGGTGGAGGAGGAGGATATGGAGGGAGGGGATTCAGAGGTGGCTGGGGGGGAAACGGGTGGTTATTAAATCCAAACATCTGAACAAGGATATCTTTGGGAAGGTATAAAATTATGTTTTGAGTATTGTTGTTGCTTTTTGTTAATATTCAGTCTTTTCTCTGTTTTTTTTTTTAAAGCATGAAAAAGTTTAAACCATGACTGCCATACTGTCATCTAATAACAGTTATTAAAATAACTATTTGTAACCAATGATGTTTAATCAGTTTTTAATAGATGGCAAATACATGTTAAGTGTTGTATTATAATAAAATAATTTCTTTTGTATCATTTTTGAATCCTTTCTTTATAATATTTAAAATATGGGTCTTCTTGATCTCTCTCATGCCCTCTAAGAATTGAGTTCACTGACAATCAAACCATAAAGTTACTGGTGGGAATCAAAATCTCAGTTTCCAGATGTGTGGTTGTGCAGCAATGTGTAACTCCAGCCAAGTTTTTTCTATTCAGATTGAGCAACATTTTGTTCCCTAAAACAAACGACTCAGTTTAGAAGTATGCATTTTGAGAAAATAATGTGTGAAATATAACAATAACATGTTTGTATTTAATAATAATATTGGATTGCTGACTGATAAATGCTTGAATATTGTACTTTAATATTTACATTTCAGTTTTTCAGAATCCAGTGTCTTTCCAGAGACCACAAAATACAGTGACATTTTTGCAGCTGGAAAAGTATGGCTATGAAACAGTGTACACACAAGAGTGTTGGAACACTGAGTGAAAAGTATAAAGCAAATTTATCCTTTTTTTATTTTTTTTATCCATGTATGTTCCGTTTCGGAACATGTGAGATATAGTGATATTTGAGCAACTGTAAATTATTATTTTGACTACCAAATATCTTTGATTAACAAAAAATCCATGGCTCAGCTAAACATTTTCAAATGAAACCACAAATTAATATGTATAATTCAATATTAGCAAGGTTTAAGCCTTTAGATTTACATTTAGTTTTATGTAATTGTAGTGTTTGGTGCGTAAAATTAAAATGCTGGCAAAATATTTTATTTATAATATGTATTACATATATATTATTTAAATATACTATTCCTATAAATTATTTAAATGACTGCCACATATCTAATGTTTATCGGGTTTCTTTGGCTTGCGGCAGAGGCGTTTGCTAATGATTACCGATAGAGGGCGCTTTAAATCCGAAGTAGAGTATATTTATAAATGATTGGAGAGCCTGTGGATGTTACCATCAATGATATTACCATAAAAAAGTATTTAATTGCTTATTTATTTTTAATCAAACCCTAATTGACTAACCTAAACTGCAAATATAATTGTTTCAATATTGCAAATACAACCACAAATTCTGTACACACTTATACTTATATACTTATACTTACACACTTTTAACTCCTTGTCTTGTTGTTACTTTAACATTTTTTACAAATTACTCATATCTGATTTACTCAAAAAAGCAAATTTTGCACCACAGCAACATTCCAGAGGATCCGGAATATGTCTGAGGAGAATGTAGTCGTAGCCTCTGGGTAAGATGAGAGAGTGCATACCTCTTATATCCTTGATAGACTAAGTCTCCTTAGAGAACAATTGCTGATGAATGTGTTCAAAGTTTGAAGGTAGCAGTGAGGCAATGCACATCCAGGGCATGCCTCAGCTTGATGCAGCAGTATGGGGGGTAGGAATGAATATTTGTTCACGAAGTGTTGACACTCATTTCTCATTTTGACAGGAATAAATCTAGCCCTCATTTCCCCGGTCCTGGATGTAGTAAGACTTGGCGACTGATTGATAGAAGTCTAGTACAGAGCTGACTGCTGATTGCAAGGTCAAAGGTTTTATAGTACTGCTAGACGTCAAGATTCTTAGCTCAAAAACAAATAAGCATATCTTTGCTTTTTAGCAATTTAAATATTTTAGCATTTTATGAGGGAAATTTAAACATTTCTTTCCAACGGAGTTAATTCTATCCTATAGAGAAATTAAGCCAATTAATCTCCACTAATTGATTGTCTTGATAAACACCAAAGTTTTGTTCTTTGATCACCATTTGATTAAATCGTAATAGCATTATCTAAAGGAATGTGTCTGAAGACTGGATCTGATGATGGTCTTTCTGCTCACTGCCAATCTGAAACACTCACTGGGCTCATGTAGATTATCAGATACAGTATCTGCTATAGGTCTTATCAATGGCACACATACCTTTTTAGATAATTCAGTACACCAGATCTCACTCTCCAATCAATCCATGGAGCAAACTTGATTTGTGAATATCCAATGCAAAAAAAAAGGACAGTTCAGTATGATATGGATTGGGGGGGAATTATAAAACCATAAATTGCCAAAATAGCCAGAACTATCTGTTATTTTTATTACTATTTCTATGTGTTAATGTATTTATTTCTGTTACTATTACTAACTGTTACTCATTTATTTTATTTTATTACTGTTTAGTTAGTTATTTCTGTAAATCCTTTGAATTTGCCTATAGTGATTGGGATCTATGCTTATTTGCATTAAAAATATTTTGCATATTATTATTATTTTTATTTATTTTGCATAAAGTTAATTTTGAGGTAATATATAACAAACATTGAATTTAAAAAAAATAAGCTAGTTGTTAGTTAGCTCTGTGAAACCTTTGAATATGCTAGCTGCATAAAAAATGAGTTGATGTTGAGGTAAGATATAACACACAGAAACTCTTAAAATACGCATAGGCCTACCTGAAAATAGGAGTCTGAAGGATTTATCTTAAAATGGCTAGAACGAGTGTGGGAGGGACTTTAAGATGCTTCTCTATACATCTTAGAAACAATGCTGGTAAAATATTAATAAACAGCACACAAAATTGAAACCTCAGCTATTTAAAGTTTTCGGATACACCCTTGCCTGGTAGAGTAAGTATATATAACCTTGCTCTTTGACCCCACTGCTCACAGCAAGCAACAGCTAACGTTAGTTATTCATAGCACGGGGGGATTCATCCAGAAAGTGTCTCTTTGAAAATACCAGAAGATAAATGTAAAGGTAGAAAACACAGAAAAGTGTTTAAATGAATACAGCTTTAAGTACTTAACTGCCTGCCTGCATATGGACAGTTTATTTGAAGGAGAGATTTATTTCTGGGATTTTCTGATGACGAATCAAGCCTTGGTTTAACACACATATTTGTTTATCTATTTACGGGTAGTTAGTGGTCGCTACGTTGAGAATCTGTGAGGTATGAAATTCTGTCCCCACCCACTCCTGGAGTTGTCTGGGAAACCGACCAATTGGAAAAGTGCAAAGCCACGCCCATGCCGCCCTGTCCATTTGGATTTGCCTTGTTTAGCGGGTCGGCGGTCCATCAAAGCATCCTTCAGGCGGAAGTAGATGTAGGGATTTTTTTTGGAAGTAGGCTACTTTGACTTGCGCTCTAGCTGCCAGGGTGTAGTCGGATATAGTTCCTTTTCTCCAAAAGTTTTTTTTTTTTTTTCACATGGCGGTGGTTACAAAACACTAATAAAGTGAAGGTTTGCAAGAGAGAAGTCGCGAGGAGATTAAGCCACAACTATCGCTTTTTGTAGGTGAAGCGATTACCACCATTTTCCGCATGAGTTTATTTATAAAACCACAAACTGGGTAGCTGGCGAGTTACCGCAAACTTTTTAAAGACTGCAAGGATTTAAGGGATCAAGTCAGTGACGGTAGCTACTTGAGGTCGCGTAAACAAAAGGACACAATGTCGTTTTTTAGCTGTTTGTTATTATGGACTTTGTGGGCAGCGTGCAGTCATGGAGCGATGGATGAGTGTATAGACGAGTCCGATCGGCCTCAGCGCTGCATGCCAGAGTTTGTTAACGCCGCTTTCAATGTAACCGTAGTGGCCACCAACACTTGCGGCTCGCCGCCTGAAGAATACTGTGTACAGACCGGGGTAACGGGAGTCACTAAATCATGCCACATTTGCGATGCCGGAGACCCCAGAAACCACCACGGCGCTGCTTTTCTCACCGATTACAACACCCAACCGGATACCACCTGGTGGCAAAGTCAGACTATGTTAGCGGGCATCCAGTACCCGAACTCCATCAACCTGACCCTTCACCTGGGTAAGCAGTTTTCTCTTGTATTCTCGTCAAATTGTGTTTCAGAGTCACTAAAATTTTGTTTGTTTTCCTGCGCTATGAAGAACAGTTGTTCTAGTGTTATGACCAGTCGATTTAGCATGTGTTATTTAAAGTTAAAGTTAGCATTACATTTACATTTAGTTAGTCACTAAATGTAGCCACCAATATGTATTCGTTGCATACTATAACTTATTCCTTTGCTAATTGGCACTATTGATAGTGACAAGTAACTATTTAATTGTTACTAGTAACATATTGCATTTTTTATTGAAATCTAAAGAGATCTGTATTTCAGATATCAACTATTCACTTCTGACTAGTAACGTTATGTGTTCTAATAGCTGTAGGCACCAATTCCACCGTAACTTGTTACTATTCATTGCAGTTAATAATCATGCTTGTTACTATTCACTATTTATTTCTTAGTTACCTTTTGGATAGTTGCTAGTATCTATTCCATTTGTTAGATTTATTAGAAATTAGTACTAATTTATTAGTCAATAGTGTGTTATTAATCTTACTTATAGCATTAATCTTACTAGAAAGTAGTAATAAACTATTAAATAGCCATTCTGACTAGTCAATAGTATGTCAAGTAAAAAAGGTAACACTTTACAATATCTTATTAACATAAGCTAACATGAACAATAGTTCTACAGCATTTATTAAATGTTAATTTCAAAATGTACTAATAATTTTTTAATCAAGATTTAATAAATGCTGTAAAAATACATTGCTCATTATTAGATAATTTAATGCATTATATTTAATGCATTAATGTTAACAAATGAGGCTTTATCGTAAACTGTAAGCGAAGGCAGTTGTAGAGAGACAATACATGCTAGTGTCTCATAAATAAATAATAGTATCCAATAAATAATTGCTAGTAAATCAGAAACTATTGGGCTAGTTACTTCTAAGGTCATAATGATCTGTCCACTTTTTCGATCTGCTCAGATGTGAAACATATGGTAATTGTAGTTTTCTGCATTATACTAATAATAGTGATCACTCAGTCCTGCTGGTGAAATGCATTATGAAATGATGCTATTTCATAGCTTTAGGCAATAATCAATCTGCATGTTTCTAATAGTCATGGTTCAACTTTTTGTTGTGTTGTATTGTTATCATATACTGGATGTCGTTTAGCAAGAATCATTACCTCTTAAATACAGCTCAAGCTTTATTGTTCTGCAGTTCTTGGGGCCGTCATGGAGAAACCTTACCTAATCAGATCGTACAAGATACATACTCTGGGTTCAGAATAACTGTTTTAGACAATGATATAGACCCTCTGTTAGATTTGGCATGGAGTGACCTCTCTACTTGGCAGTGAAGGTTTGCACATTACGCAAATCATTGAATTTCTTCCAGCATAAGCAGAATGATTGGGTTGCAGGAGGAGGTTCTTCTGCCTGTGGGAAAAGAGCAGTAACGTAACCAATTAGTAGAGTCCCAGCAAGCCATGACCTCTGTAGCTTTTCGTTCCCAAGTAGATGCAGCTATATCAGTAGGCATATATGTAAGTAATAAGCATGTCTAATGAGCTGTAATCAGGGTGTCAATAAGGCATTTGCATTTAGATAATGGAAGAGGAAGTGATTTGGCTTTCAATGTTCCTATCATACACTTGGCTAATTAGTAGCCATTTGTTAGCACATGGTCTACAACGGGCCATTTCAGTCAGATGCCTTTCTTCTAATTCACTTTAGTTCTTGTTGTTTTAGGCATTTTGCATTTGAATCGTGTCATTAAAACAGTGTGAAACTGACGGACGTGTAATATTTGATGCTTTTTGTCTTGATTATGCGCCCTTAGGTAATGAAATTAACTAATTTGTTGAGCCACAATTTTATTTTTAATTTATTTGATAAATAAATTAAATACTTTGATAAATGTGCTTCTATCATAGTCTTCTAACAAAACAAAATATTTATAAATAAATGTCAATTTTATATTTATCAAGGTTTTAATGCAGTACTCCAAAATTTGCTTAAAAATACATATTTTTGCATCTCTTTTTAAACATCTTACTGAGAACAGAAGCCAAAATCTAAGAAGATTCACAATTGTTGATTTGCTTGTTTGTTTTGTTCTTCTGTAATTTTTTTTTCTTTCTTTTTTTTTTCAAAGCGACTCCGTAGGTGGGAACCCACAAGTAGTCTGGGTCCCAGCCCTAAGCTTTTATTTTATGTGCTCTGCCTTTGATGGCTTTCATGTTTATTCTGCCTTCATTGGGATGGTCGAGGCGGAAGCAGGCATGTCTTAACTTGACACTGCTGAGTCCTGGGAGACTGTGGAGGTTTGGCCTGGCCTAGCAGATTCAGGGGGGCGAGGAGAGATGAGGAGGGTAGATTTACTATTGAACATTTCTGTATGTCCCACACTCATTCTTTATTAACCAGTTCTGGCTTTGCCTGTCATGCTCCAAGAATGCCATGAGACTGAGAAATGTGAATCATCGTCCAGACACTGGCTAATGAAGACTTGCAGACATATGCATCAGAACTTGTACAGGCAAATAGATATAATGTGGTGGTTTAAAGAATGGTCAGGTTAATGAAAGATTGTTGATGCTGTCTGTTTTAAATTGGTATACTTGTCAGATACAGCCCAGAGGGATGTGCAAACATAAATTTAGCTGCTGTGCCATATCCAGCAAGAAGTGACAATTTATATTTCTGTAGTAATATAGGACGTTGTTTTTCCAGAATTGTCTATAATACTTAGGGCGTAAAACAAGGACTAAGGAGTTATAGGATCTTGTAAGTCCCACAAATGTACTAACATACATTACACGATACATTATAGCAAGGATTCCCAAACTTTTTAGGCAGCTGAACACTTTGACTTAGAATATTTACTTGTACCCTTGTAAAATGTATACTCGTAAAATATATATATTTTCAAATGTTTTACTGTATTTATTGTTTTTTTTTATTATTAATTCAAGTCTGCATTGAATGAAAATAAATGTATTCCCTCTGTCCTTTTTCATAAATGCATGTTATTAATCTTATTGCAAACCTTTCATCCTTGCAAATGTGACCTCATTTTTAGACTTAGACTTCTCTCTGGTGATGTATACTGGACTTCTCCAGTCAGCTTAAATACAATCGACTGCAAGTTTGCATTCAGATCTGCCTGCATTAATTCAATAACTAACGGATAGAGCCCAGGTCCCACCCTCCTTTTTGTGTTTTTCAAAAATGTGTTTAATTAAGAATAGGGCTGCACGATTATGACAAAAATCATAATTGTCGATTATTCCCTTGAAATTGTAATTGCGATTATTAATTACGATTATCACAATTTACATTGAATGATGTTTATACCATTGTTTGATGCAACTGTATGCCGTATTTTTATATGAAAATAAACGAGCTGAAA